TTTCGTCAATTTAGTGGGAAAAAAAATTCTCACAACTATTTTTTGTTTAAAGAAAAAAAAGAAAAGAAAGAAGGTGCGTTTTTGTTGTTTTTTTGTTGTTTTATTTTTTTTTTGGGGGGGGGGTTGAATTTTATATTAAATATTGTTGTGTTTATATGTTATACTAATATTATGATATGTTTCAGCCTTAATTGTCGCTTTAGAATAATTTGGTTTCCACATCATGTCTTAAGGGAGGGGGAATGTAATGGTATTTGCTTTTATGTCGCGTTTATTATATTGAAATAGATTTTACACGGCTTTATGGTCGTTTTGCTATTTGGGTTTGTCGGTCCACTTCCGACAGGACCGGCCGGGACACCCTCGTTCTGCCGGCCCGTGCTGCACGGAACATTATGACGTCAGACTCAACGGCAAAGCAATTGGAATAAGACGGAATCTACTGTCCGTAACTTGCTTGATCTTTGATTGATTGATTGTTGATTGCTTAACGTCCAGTGGCAAGTATTTCATGCATATTCAAGACGAGAATTAAGTAACAATAAATACAATAGGTAGGTTCTGTAATAGGGGCGTCCGGGATTAAGGTCGGAGAAATTTAGACTGCCACGGGAAATGAGGGTAAATTGGATAGGGACAGAAATTTAGCCTTTGAACAGGTCACCTACGGACCCCTCAAAGAGTTGTTGCAAGGGTTCTTAACTTGCAAAGAGCTTGGCACTCTCTTTATACGAGGCATCGGATTTAACGTCTCCATTCTGAACGGACGTGGCTGCAAATTTGTACATCCCGCACAGTCAAACGGACCCCCCACTTTAGCAAGGGTTTTACCGCCGGTCGGAGGAAGACCAATGGTGACCATACGTCTATTCCCCAGTCACCCTTGGGGGTGCTTGATCTTTGAATTCACTTAATTGAGGTGATATACTGTTCTAACCGTATATATCAATTATACTTGTAAATTTGATTGCTACAATTTGTAACTTGATGTTTATTTTATTCACGTAGAATAAATTATTCTAGCTTGAAAGCATTTCTTTTTTTATCCTATATTCCGTGAACTTGGGAAAATCTATTTCCGTTACAGTTTATTTGTTCACGTCCTGACTATGCATGACATATTTACCATTGGACGTTAAGCAACAAACAAACACATTTCTATTTTTCTTTACCCTGGTGTCACAATGTAATTTTGGATAAAAATTCTTATTTGAATTTTTATTAAGAAAAGCCTTATTTGAATTTTTATAAAGAAAAGCCTTATTTTAATATTTGAATTTTTTTATTGCAATAATCTTATTTTTAATGAAAAACATTTTGAAGTTTTGTTACAAATGGACTTAAAATAGTACAAATGAAAAGTTTAAAAGTTTTAAGTTGTTCACTGCAAATCCCATGCATATATGGCTGCACATTTCAGAAACCATACAAACGCCCAAGAGTTCACACCGTTCAAGGTGAAATAGCCAGAAACTTCAAAGTTCATATCTATAGTTTTATTGTTCCATGATTTGTTATTGTATCTGTTTTATTGACTGCATTGTTATACTTTATATTTTATTATGTAATATTGTTATTATCACTTTTAAAATTGAACGCAGTGAATAAAGACTATTCTCAGAAAACACATTTGACTATTTTCAGGCCTGTCAAAAGACTCACGTCATCAAGATACTTATATCTTGACACAGCTGGGAATCACAAAGTCAAAACCAACCATTGCATCTGTCTGTCACGCTTGCTCATTGCTCTACCACACAAAACAAACCAACACCCAAAACCTAAGTTTGACAATTGACGGAGGACCTAAAGATCCTAGCAAGAAGACAGCAGACCGCAACTTCGAACCAAGTAAGAGTAATATATGAGATACTGGTTAAGTTCAGCAGATATGCAGCCACAGAACGCCGTTATCGATTGATTGTTGGTTGCTTAACGTCCAGTGGCAAATATTTCATGCATATTCAGGACGAGAACAAATTAACAATAACTACAATAGGTAGGTTCTGTAATAGGGGCGTCCGGGATTAAGCTCGGAGAAATTTAGACTGCCACGGGAAATGAGGGTATATTGGATAGGGACAGAAATTTAGCCTTGCAACAGGTCACCTACGGACCCCTCGAAGAGTTGTTGCGAGGGTTCTTAACGTGCAAAGAGCGTGGCACTCTCTTTACACGAGGCATCGGATTTAACGTCCCCATTCTGACCGGACGTGGCTGCAAATTTGTACATCCCGCACAGCCAAACGGACGCCCCACTTTAGCGAGGGTTTTACCGCCGGTCGGAGGAAGACCAATGGTGACCATATTTCTATTCCCCAGTCACCCTTGGGGGTACCTATAGTTGAAGAACTGCAGCTGGAAAATCAACCACCTCCACCATTACCTCTGCAGAATCCAGCACCTCAACCTCAACAAAATCAACCACCTCCACCACCACCTCAGCAGAATCTACCACCACCACCTGTTCAGAATCAGCCACCAGTTCAGCAGAACCAACCACCACTAGTTGCAGTGCAGCAGCCACCAGTTCAGGCCGCAGCTACAGAGCAGGGTATTCATAGACCCTCGCCCCCAGGTTTTACTAATAGTTAAATAATGGTAAACTTAAAACATTACAATGGTGACACTGATGCTGTTCAATGGTGGCGAAGTTTTCTTGCCTACATAACCCTTCAAAGAATGGCAGAATGGGAGGCAATTCTTGTCTTACCCTTTTATTTGTGTAGTATATCGGAACAATGGTTTGAAATGATAGACACCACCACAAAATCATCTTCGGCTAACATTAAAATATCATTTTAAACCGGTTCAAACAGCACAAACAAGAAGATATTGGTTTAACATATCTTAGACAACAAGAAAATGAACCGGTTGGTCAATACTTGCATGGAGCTTTAAATTACAACAAGACAAATAGTGTGTCAGAACAATTTTTGGTTAAACTAGCTTACAGAGGTTTAAGCAATTCAAAAATACAACAAATTGTTGTACCTCAAAATCCCGTATCGATGTCAGATTTACTCAGCTCAGATGACCGTTAACATGATACAACCGCAACAATCCAACGTCGAAAGCTCAATTCTTAAAGCAGTATCCTCAATTGAAGACAAAATTATGGACAAAATATCGCAGAGATTAGACTCTATAGCAGCAATTAGTTCAAATTCAAACCAACAGCAATTCTCTAATACAAAAATATTGGTGGAAAAGTATGCATCAAGATATCACAGACTATGTTAAATCGGTGTCAAAGAGCCAAGCAAACCTGCAATCCAAACAAACCCCTCTTACCAAGATGCCCCAAGTTGATCGCTTTGATAGATGGCATATAGATGTTCTTGGCCCCCTTACTAAAACTCACAAAGTTACGAGTACATCTTATTGGTCATTGATGCTTTTAGTAGATGGTGTGAAGCATTTCCCATGAAAACCCAAACTGCAAAGGAAATAGCTGATAATCCATACACAGGAGTTGTCTCTAGATTTGGTTGCCCAAGAGTTTTGCTAAGTGACCGTGGTCAGCCGTTCATGTCAAAGCCACGTGTGAATTCCTCCAAATCACTCAACATCATACCACGTCTTACCACCCTAACACAAATGGCACTGTCGAGAGACAAAATCACACACTTGCTCAGTCACTTCGAACTTACTGTTATGATACCCATGACAAGTGGACTTCTCTCATCCCAGGTATTATGATGGCTTTTCGTAGATCGGTTTGTGCAACCACAGGTTTTTCTCCATTTTACATGTTGTTTGGCCAAGAGATTAAAATCCCATTTGATATTGCCTTCGAGCCAAAAGACTCCTTGCCACAGGACACACGAGTGTACATTCACCAGTTCCTGTCAAACATAAAGATGTCACACAAGATTGCTCTTCAGAATGAAGCAGCTCAAAAAGAAAAAGACAAAGTGAGGCATGATCAGACAGCTAGAGTACGCACATTTGCTATAGATCTTGTTTTACTAAAGGTACACAAATTTCCCAAAGGTCAGTCACGAAAGCTTTGTGGCAAAGCTTCTGGTCCATATCGAATAGATTGATTGATTGTTGGTTGCTTAACGTCCAGTGGCAAATATTTCATGCATATTCAGGACGAGAACAAGTTCACAATAAATACAATAGGTAGGTTCTGTAATAGATTAAGGGATTAAGGTCGGAGAAATTTAGACTGCCACGGGAAATGAGGGTATATTGGATAGGGACAGAAATTTAGCCTTGCAACAGGTCACCTACGGACCCCATATCGAATAGAAGAAATTGGCCCAAATTACACATATGGTATCAGGAGAATCTCAGATCACAAAAAGCAAGCTTCTTTAGTCAATGCTACCAATCTGCAACCATATATACGACCTGATCCTACTCGGCAGAGACTCGCTCAAGAAGTTCAAAATATTCCACCAGATCATCCAGACTCAGACCCATAAGTTGACCAAGATGATGAAGCAACCCCAAATGTAGAAGTTGAAGCAACCCAACAACCCATCCCCATCCCTCAGCAATCTCCTGACCCTGCTAAAAGGTACCAAATTCAAAACGTTTTACGAGGTCGACGAAAACACGGACGCAGAGAGATGTATATTAAATGGCTTGATGGTTCATGCACTTGGGAACCAGATACATGCTTTGACGAAGAAATGTCTGATTTCATTAACAGTAGATGGACAAAACAAGCAAAACGCAGGAAATCTTACTTTAATTGATACCTGTAAACTGTTTTCTATCTATTTAGTCCTTTTTTTCACTCTGAAACCCTTATTTTATTCCCCATTCTGGTCATGTTTTAGTTCATTGTTTGTATACATTTCATGAAAATAAGTCTCTACTTGAACTCATTATTCAAACATGACTATGACCCAGGAAATACACGTCAAAGAAAGATACATCAGTATCACCACCTTGTTCATAGAAAGATACATCAGTATCACCACCTTGTTCATAGAAAGATACATCAGTATCACCACCTTGTTCATAGAAAGATACATCAGTACCACCACCTTGTTCATAGAAGGATACCTCAGTACCACCACCTTGTTCATAGAAAGATACATCAATATCACCACCTTGTTCATAGAAAGATACATCAGTATCACCACCTTGTTCATAGAAGGATACCTCAGTATCACCACCTTGTTTATAGAAGGATACATCAGTATCACCACCTTGTTTATAGAAGGATACCTCAGTATCACCACCGTGTTCATAGAAGGATACATCAGTATCACCCCACCCCTTTTTAAAGTGTATGAAAAGAAATTTTCACCTTAGTTTTTATTGTATATTATTTAATGTCTTATGAGGTTCACTTATTACTACTTTTGACTCATATACCTTTTTGGTAATAATAGATTGAAGAAATGCTAGCTTGAGATTATTGTTCTAAATGTATATGTCTTAGTTTATTATCTATTCTGATAAGTGCCTTTACTTGTTCTCAGATCTCGAAATTTGGATTTTCTTTTGATGTTATGTTATAGTTATTTCTGTAGTCCTTAGTGCTAGATTGTATGTTGAGACGTCAACTTTCAGTCACCTATAAAATTGGTATGTCTAACTTTCGGCATTTGATATCGTTGTAGGCCACTCTCTGACTATTTGGAACAGTCTCCTTCTCACCTATATAGTCCTTTTAAGTATGTTTTCTGTTGGTGCGGCAACCTCGTCCCCTCAAGATGTCATCCAAAGACTCAACTATGGAGTAGTGTTTCGCCCAGATTCTAAGTTGTACCTAGCAAAGGAAGCATGGCTACACACCTTCCAGATAGATATTCCAAGACCCAGAGAAATCAACATTACTAAATTGCCAATTTGTTCTTACAAATGTCACTACAGAACTACTCAAATATATGTTCATCCATGAATATGAGACATTTTATTCAACATTTACATGACTCCATGGAACATGATTTGAAAGAAACAATACAAGCAATTAAAATATTAGTTCCTCAGAATAAATTATTCGAGTCAAGTAGAAATGGTCGTGCCATTCTCCCTTTTATTGGCCCAATGGCCAAAGGTTTACAAGTATTTGGATTGGCTACAATGAGTGATGTTCAGTTGTTGGCCAATCACATTAATGCTTTAAATGCAAAATCAAGAAGTATCACTGAAGCTCTCCAGCAACATAGTGATCACCTTTCATCTTTTGTGCAAGTGATCGATAAAAGAACATCCAATTTAATGCAGGTTATTAAAGACAATTCATTAGAAATTCAGACAATTGCCCATTCATTTCAACTAGCAATAGTTTCGTCGGAACAATCCATGGTGAATATTTCACAGATTCTTATCACCCTAACTAACAATTTTAACGTCTTGAAATCTAACTTACTTCAGTTACAGAATGCTTTTCAATCCTTGGTCGAAGGTCGCATTTCTCCATTCCTCATTCCAAAGTATGATTTTTCTCGCACACTTTACCAAATTCAGAGCACATTAAACAAGAAGTACCCTGGTTTCTATTTAACACATTCATATTCTTCATACTATTACACTACATCTAACTTTATGTTTACCCGTAATTTCTCCTCTCTTTTCATCACGGTGCAATTTCCAGTATCTTCGCATGCACAACCTCTACAACTCTATAAAATCATATCTTTACCTGAACCAACCCCTACTAATAAGACTACTAAGCATGCTACTAAATTGTTAAGATTTACCACAGTACCTTGCACTGACCTATCAGCATGATTATTATCTCCCCTTATCAACTGATGACCTAACTAATTGTGTGCATGGACCTATTGTTTTCTGTACTTTCAATAAGGCACTCATTCCTATAACTGTTTCTGATTGTTTCCTTGCATTGTTCCAAAATAATGTCAAACAGGTTTCAAGACTTTGTAATTTTTGGTTTCTAGAAAATCACCTTTCTCATATTATTGAGTTAACACCAACATCGGTGCTTGTTTATGACAGTGAAGAATTGGACTTAATTTGTCCTCAAAGCCAAAGAAAGATACCTGGGTGAACATTCTGTGTCATAAATATACCCTGCAAATGTTCATTGTCAACAAGGAAACCCCCCCCGGTGGATTGCTATCCTTGCCGTGGTCGGGGGGCTTGCGTGTCTCAGTGACCCCAAGAGCTATGCCAGTTGGAGCTTCGTCTCCTGGTAGGGTTACCCATGCTGGACAGGTCGAAGGGTAGAGACCAGACTAAAGTGATCCGAACATCGTATGAGTTGCCCGATGTTTTAAATAAAATGGGCTCTCCAACCCGTTGGCCGTGGGTTGCTACCCGTGTCGGTGGTTGACGAGATCCTTGCGGATGAGGGCTGTAGCCAGACTTCTTACGGTCAGAAAAATACCCGGACGGACGAGACTATAGTTCAATAAGCTGCTTTGGCTCCAATATCATCTAAACGGGAGGTCGGATGGACCCGGTTCGATCAATCGGCTGGTCATGTCGAGCCCTTCAGTTAATCCTCAACAATAAGCTTTCTTGTAACAATTTTCATTATATACACATGTGTTTTAAATTAAGCTATTTATATTTCGGATAACTGAAGAAGGCGATGGCTCATGGGTCAATCAAGTGGTACGCTTTCTATTTCGCTTGATGGATACGCTCTGCTTGAGTATACTATTCTTGGAACATCTGGTGCTTTCCGCAGTGGATCTTGGGTGCTAATTTTGGGGACCACCTACGTTATACATGTTATACTTGGAGCTCGTTTTCAGCATTAGCACTTGACCCCGGCTCGCCACGGAAACACAGCAGGCACTCCGAGGTGGGTGGATAACAAAATGGTGAATCTTTCTCATTTCCTATGGCACAACAAAACCAACCCTCTAAATCAGCTTTAATACATAAAAAAAGAAAATGTGATGATTCAGTGCCCTGTCAGGAAGATGACAGTTGGCCCAGATTTATTGTAATAAAAGGAACAGATGAAAAACCAATTTCCAAAATATCTCCTTTTGTGATTCACAAACAAATTCAAAGCGTTGCTGGTACTGTAAAAAAAGTTTCAAAAATGAGATCAGGCAATTTGTTGGTTGAATGTTCCAACAAAAGTCAGTCAACAAATTTGCTTACACTGACAACAATTACAAACTTTCCTGTTTCTGCCTCTCCTCACAACAGTTTGAACAGCTGTAAGGGGATCATTCGAGACAGAAGTCAATACCTTGGTGACCTTACCGTGGAAGAAATCTGTGAGGAACTTTCAAGCCAAGGTGTAACTGATGTTGTTAGATTTCAAATAAAAAAGAATGGAAATATAATCAAATTAAATACATATCTTTTGACATTTAGAACTCCAACTCCTCCTCCATCTATTACTTTAGGTTGCTTCGGAATCAGAGTTGACAGGTTTATCCCTAACCCAATTCGATGCTTTACTTGTCAAAAGTTTGGTCATGGAAGCAAACAATGTCGTGGTACGCAGAGATGCTTCAAGTGTTCTGACGAAGGACACGAGGGAACAACCTGTAGCTCTGAATCTTCTAAATGCGTAAACTGTGGTGAATCCCATTTTTCATCATCTAGGGACTGCCCTGTTTACCTTAAAGAAAAAAATATTATCAAAATTAAAACAGAAAGAAACATCAGTTACCCAGAAGCTAAACAGATAGCTTCTGTTTCGAATGATCTCCTTGTTTCGAACAGACCATCGTACGCCAGCAAAGTTGTCCGCTCATTCAGTCACGAGCATACACAAACTCGCATGACCTGGCCAATTGATGCTGAGACATTTACAATGCTGCCTGTTGAAACAGAACCTAACGATAAAATATTAGTTCCAAGAAAACCAACACCTTCTAAAACCAGTACTCAGTCAACTCAATCTTCCTTACAGAGCTCAATGTCATCATCTAAAAATAATGAAAAAACGAAATCAAATAAAAAAGATACAGTTAAATCAGACAGTTGGGGCGGTGAATCTGTCTGGGATCTTCCCAGTGACATAGATGATTCTTCCATCTCCAATAGTCCTCCTTCATCTGCATCTAATAAAACTAGTTTATCTTCTGCATCTAGTACAAAGTCTTCTAAAGCCCCGTCTCCTCTTCGTTCTCCAGAACAGAAGGATGTCCCAAAGAAGCCAGCAAATACATCCTCTCAGAAGTCTTCTGATTCGAGGTCGCGGGGTAGGGGTCGAGGCGGAGTAAAACCAGCTGCGCATGGTCCTGGAGATCGACGACTCTCCTCACACAACAGATTTTCAACACTTAACGACGAATCAGAAATGGAAATCGAAAGTGTTCCGCCACCCGAAAGTTTACAATCTCAGGGTGAGCGAAATAAGAATGCTGGCAAACTCGATAGCATTCGCCCGTCTATTAACAAATCATGACTAATATCATCCAATGGAATTGCCGAGGTCTTAAAATAAATCTTCTCGAGTTAACGCTTCTAGTTCAGTCATTTTTACCTACTGCATTTTGTCTTCAAGAAACTCATTTAAAAGAAAGTGACAATGTATCTTTAAAAGGATACAACATGTATAGCACATTTTCTAAGGTAGATGAACGTGCTGCAGGCGGATCATCCATTTTTGTGAAGGACAACGTCATTCATAGCACAGTCCAACTCACCACGGATCTGCAGGCAGTTGCAATTCGTTTATCATTAGATAAAACAATTACATTATGTTCTATATATATTCCACCCAATTCAATTATAGATAAAGCTAAACTCAAAAACCTCACTGATCAATTACCCTCACCATTTATACTTATGGGCGACTTCAATGCACACAACCCCTTGTGGGGAAGCAAGTCTTATAATATCAAAGGTAAGATCATTGAGGACTTTGTCTCTCAAGAAGGATTATGCATTTTTAATAATGGATCTAATACTTATCTTCATCCTGGAAACGGGTCTTATTCTGCTATTGATATCACTATTTGCGATCCCTCTCTTCTTCTGGATTATTCATGGCGTGTTCATGATGATCTATGTGGAAGTGATCACTTTCCAATAGTACTTGAACATCTTTTTACTTCTGCCCAACAGAGAGTACCACGTTTGAAACTTGACAAGGCGGATTGGTCCTTGTTTGAGAATCTCTGTCAAGCGGAACTTCAGTCAAAGATGTTTGAGACTGTACAAGATCCAATTTTAACTTTTAATACAGTTTTAACGTCAATTGCTGACAGAACTATTCCTAAGACCTCGGCAAATCCGAAACATCCCAGCAAACCATGGTTTGATGATGCTTGT